TCGCATTTTTGTATATCGCATGTAAATTTCTTTTAGGGCCATTAATTTATTAGTTTTTAACTAAATGTGTTACCCCCTTTAACAAAGATATTGCTTGCTTACTTACTTAAGTCCCAAGGCCATCCAGTTGAGAAAGGGACGCAGTTTTACATTGAATGGAAACTGAAAGACGACGGAAAGAACCGTTCTTTTGTCAGGCAAAAAACGATTTTATCGGGTACTTTTTCCCGTTTCCAGAGGATTAAACTCTTCGAAGTTTCTGTGTCAGAAAGAGATTAATCTATGTCTGGGAAAGCCGTTGCACATTCGACAGAGTTACACCCGCACTTCCAATCGAGCACTGCGATCTTCTTTTTGTCGAAATTTTATGTTCGTCCTCATTTCCAGTTTCTGTTTAGTGTTTCATTATAAAATAGCCCTATGTGAGAAGCATGTTTTCATTTCTGGGAAATAAATTGGAATTAGTTAAAAATTTGAAAACGTTCTCAAAGACTTTGTCAAGATAGTATGAGCTTGAACCCTTGAGCTGTAGTTTTGTTGTTATGGACGAATTGCCAGAGGACATCCAACTTCTAATAGAATTGATGCTCATCCGTCTGTGGCATTGAATGTGTTGGCCACTGCTGTTTCTGGTATAAAATAGCTATTGCACACTCTATGGTTTAAAATATACTACATTTAACATGTAACTAGCTGCTGGTATCTTTTGTGAGTTTCGTGGTTTTTTATATTGCTTATTTCGTATTCTTTCAAATATGGGAAAAGAGTAAAATGTCCGCCCGTATTGTGATTCTGTATTAAGCCATCTGATAAGGCATTTTTTATTCTATTATTGTTGTATTTATTTTTTTTTTCTGCTCTTTTTTAAATTACAGGTGACACACTCTTGATGTGTATTTCCATTTTTCTCAGGATATTAACAGGATTCATGCTCGAAAGTTAGTGTTTTGTGGCAAATTGTACGCTTAACTCTTATAGATCGCTTGGCCTCTGTGTAACAGTGTGAAAAGGGGTCAATAGATTCACAAGAATAGAATTTATTTTCAAGGAGACTTACACCGGTTCCTCTTCAGCCTGTTTGAAAGATAAGTGAACATAACTCCATGTTTTCAAAGAGCGATATATCAGAGTAGAAAAAGCCTTCACCCAATTCAAGAAGGTAAACCAATTTATTTGCATGGTGGAATGTGATTTCCAGCCGACTTCATCAGTACCTGTTTTTTTGAGGGAAATAACGTCAATCCTATGTGCTTTCTAGGTTGTTGGCTCTTCATTGTTGCTTTATTGGTGATACTTCGAAACGATTCCGCTTATATCTTTTACGATGTTAAAGTAACGCTTAAAATCCAAGCAGGAATCGTGCCATTCATTGCACATGATGAGTTAAATAGGAAAGCATTGACTGTTGTTACTTTAGACTGTTTCATGCATTGGTTTTGTTTTTAGTTTCGCTCAAATCTTTTCTTTTTGTTTATTTTTATTTCAGGTGTGTAGGCCAATTTTTTTTTCTTAACATTAGTGGATAGGGAGGGTTGTACCCTAGCCTCTCATTGGCTTTTAGAAGTTTTCAGTGTTCACTTTTGTAAATTATGACTTGTTATTATAACTTTAGGGCGCCCCTTCTCCGATTAGGTACACCTTGTTTCACCTTATATGTATTTGTTATTTGTATATAAACTATCAAGATTAGTGACGGACCATTATTTTCCTTGGCACTTAACCTAATTCAAGAAGGTAAACCATTTGATTTGCATGATGGAATGCGATTTCCAGCCGACTTGATCAGTACCTGTGTCTTTGAGGGAAATAACGTCAACATCTGCGTTATCTGCGTTATCGTCAATTCTAGGTTATCTGCGCGGCATTGCTGCTTTATTGGGGACACTTCACTACGCTTCCGCTTGTATCTTTTACCTAGCAGGAACTTTCCTATCCATTATACATGGTGAGTTAAAAAGGAAAGCATTGACCTTTGTTACTTTAGACTGTTTCATGCATTGCCGTTTTTTAAGTTTCGTATATCATTTCTTTTTGTTTCTTTTTATTTCAGGGGTGTAAATTATTTTTTACCATTAGTGGGTAGGGAGAGTTTTACCTTCAACAGTTCACATCGAACATAAAAAGAGAAACGTAATCATTGTCTCACGATGTAGTCACTTGGGATGTGGATTAAGACTGCACACTGCTAGTCTTCTTCAGGGGCGATGAGGTCGACTAAGTACTCGTGACCTTTATGCTGTTGTGCTCCGCTGGGATTGAATGGAATTCCACAGCTGTGATTAGTACATCTTTTGGATCAGGTTCCCTCTGTGGTCCGCTGCCTCACGGCTCTCCTGTTGTTGTGTTTTTTGATCGTAGGCATCCAAGCTTCTGGGATTTCAATTCCTCTGTCCTGGTTGATGTTATTAGGTTAAAGTCTCATGTGAATTACCTCTTTCACCCTGCGTGTAGAGAAATGATGATCTCGATCAATACACTTAACTTCGTTCCAGAGCGGGCGGGGTCCGGTGTTATCGGCGTGCTCTGAGACGGCGGAGATCTGCGTCTTACGGACTCGGATATCCCTGTTGTGTTCCTTGATTCTTTCCTGCATAGATCTGCCAGTTTTGCCGATGGAAAACCTTTCCGTTCTCAAAGTGAATCATGTGGACCACGCCATCCTGTTTAGCTGAGTCGATGGCGTCCTTTGGGTGTACTAGGTGTGAGCATAGCGTAGCCTGTAACTGTGAGAAGAAACATTCGTCATCTTTCGTTGTTTTTAATGGTTACCCCTCCTCCTTTGTGCAGAGGTTAACAAAATTAAAACGCTGACCACCAGCAATGAACCCCCCACCGAGTTCAGATCCATCACAGTCCTACCCTGCGTGAGAGGCCTTTTGGAACAACTTCGCTGCCGTCTATAACCACAAGGCATAGGAGCTGTTCTCGCGTCAGAGACTACGACTAGTAGGAGCATTATGCATTCGAAACGTTGCAATCCAGATTCCTAGTGACCACATCGTGATACGAAAGAGTACGTTTCTCTTTTAAGTGTTATTTACCATGATTAATAACCCACAACCTATCTTACGATATAGCACGAACATTTATGTACATGTCTGAAGCTTGAACGCCAAGGGCGAACGCCTTTATCAATGTTGCGATACCTTGCTTCGTTTACGAATCAGAATGCGAGATTTTATTCAATTACGTTCTTCTAGTCGATAAATGAAAAGGAAAGTACAAACCTACACTCAATTCCCGGGAGGGATTTGTGAGACATTTTACTTTTTACAGCAGTGTAAGGCTTCATTCGATTAATTTGTATATAACTAGTACATTTCCCACATATTACTTGTATTATCTTAAAAATACCAATTCTCTCAATTGAAGATTTGTATTGGTTTGTATACTGATAACCTGCAAGTAACTCGTGGAATATTGATGGTTTACCACTTGGTAACTTTTCTACCTCAGCCGTACCACAAATTTCCTTTGATCGCGATTTTTATTTAATCCAAAGTGGATTCCAATGTCAAGCTCGTAGACAGTCTTGATTCGCACTCATACTTACGTTTGTGTGCCCATGTCACCTTATTCTTGTTCTTATCGCCTTTGTTCATATCCTTTTGCATGTGCTTGTTTTGTGCGGGTCAATCGGTGTAATTAACCTCCTCGTTTAAAATCGATCAGTTGCTTTTCGTTCTAGTATAATTACTTCAACATTTAATTTAAAATGCAGGTCACACACGGAGAGTCTTATATAGAAGAGTGATACCTTACTGTACACAAAACTGGGATAGAGTCGTGATGTGTACTATCATGTTGCTAAGTTTATTAGGAGGATTTATGCCCGAAGGTTAGTGTTTTGTGACAAACTGTATGCGTAACCCTTATAATTGTTGAAGATCGTTAGGCCTAAGTGCAACAGTGTAAAAAGGGGTCCATAAACACATAAGAATTGAACTTATTTTCAAAGAGACTCACAACGGTTTCTCTTCAGTACTGTTTGGAAGGTGAGTAAATTTAACTCCAGATTTTCAAACAGCGATATATTAGGGTAAAAATTAGAAAATTAGAAAATTAGAATTGAAATGCCAAAATGTTAGTTATTGGTTCTAGCTTGAGAGCCTTACCCAATCCAAAGAGGTAAATAATTGTTTTGCATGATGGAATGTGATTTCCAGCCGACTTGATCATTACCTGCCTCTTTGAGGTAAATAACGTCAACATCATGTGCTTTCTAGGTTGGAGGCTCTTCATTGTTGTCACCGTCCCTAGTTTCTTCCTTGGTTTCTTCCTTAAAAGATCTCTTGATGCATACCTTTCTTCCTCTGACGCTGTGGAAGGAAAGTTTAAAAACTCAGCAGTAACTGTGCCATACATTTTACATGGTGAGTTTGAAAAAAGCATTGATTTTTGTTACTTTGGACAGATATATACATTGCTATGTTTTTAGTTTTGTATATACTTTTTTTTTTAATTTACTTTCATTTCAGTTCTACGATAATTTTTAGGAAAATGTTTAGGTTTGTGGCGGAACTATTGTGAAATGGAGAGTTGTTTTAGTTACACGGTACCACCTAATAGAGCCGTGCAGACCGTTCTTCGTAGTTATTCATGGCTAAATTCGTACACAAATGTGTTTATTTTCAGAAAGTGATAATTCAGATGAGGCTGAGCTTGAAACTTGTGATCCGCGGCCGCCCATATGGCCAAAGAGAAGACGTTATCCACGTCTTAGTGCGTTGGATGCAAGGAGAAAGAGCAATCCGAAAGTATTTGATAGGTAGAGAGTTGTTTTTTGACTATTGCTGCTCTGCAAAATCAGACCTTGAAACTTCATGTGACTTTCTCAATTTTTGTGATGGTTCATCATTTTGTTTCTAACTCTGATGTTCACGGTGTTTTTACGCACGCTATTGCAAAGTATTGATTAAGTTGTTTTTTCTTTAGCGTAAACGAAGGACCTTTCTCGAACTACTTGATTGA